GTTCATTGACGAGATATTCACGTGTATTGATTAAAATGGGACACGTGGTATACAGGGTGTTCTAGAAAGACTCGATCCCACCGATAACTTTCAGAATTAAAAGAAAATCGGATGAAAGTTGTAGGATATTAAGAAATTATATGCTGATGACCTTGGATTTTATCTTGACCTTAAGTTTTAAGGTCAAACTAAGAAAATATTAAATAGAACAACCTACTTTTATGCCAGCAATCGATAGAGTGCCAAATTTAAGGTCGGAATATGGAGATAGAAATCTTTCTATTGCACTTTGACCTTTAAATGACCTGCAGAGAAAAAGTTTCCGACTTGGTGCTCTGTCGACTGCTGGCATAAAAAGTATAGTGTTCCATTCGATATTTTCAGGTTGATCTTGGTTTGACCTTGAAATTTAAGGTCAAGAACAAATATTACTGTATATTTTTACCGATCTTTTGAAAATCATTTCTAGAATAACTTATTAAATAATTTGTATCTTGGCACTATTTATCAATACCTTCTGGTGTCCCGCGGGAACCAATCCTGGGGCCTCTTAGCAAATAATTTACGCGTTAATATTCTGGTTGATTGCATACAATTAGAAAACTTGGACTAAACTAAGTCATCGTATGTTGTGAGCGGTCTAATCTTAAATGCCTCTAAATATAACGTAATTATATACAGGGTGTTCTAGAAAGACTTGATCCCACCGATAACTTTCAGAATTAAAAGAAAATCAAAAAAGATTTTATCTTGACCTCAAGTTTTAAGAAAATATTAAATAGAACACTCTACTTTTATGCCAGCACTCGATAGTGTGCCAAATTTTGGGTCGGAATATGGAGCCAGAAATCTTTCTATTGCATTTCCGACTTAGTGCTCTGTCGACTGGTTGATCTTGGTTTGACCTTGAAATTTAAGGTCAAGAACAAAAACTACTGCATATTTTTACCGATCTTTTGAAAATTACTTTTGGAATAACGTCTTAAATTTGTATCTTGGCATTATTTATCAAGACTTAGTGCTCTGTCGATTGCTGGCATAAAAAATATGGTGTTCCATTCAATATTTTCAGGTTGATCTTGGTTTGACCTTGAAATTTACGGTCAAAATCAAATTCAAGGTCACCAGCATATTGGTTTATTGATGTTTTGCATTTATTTGAAACTCAAAACTGAAAATTTGTCGGGGGGGTTAAAGATGTAAGTTTTGATAACACTCAAATATTAGTAACTGCTTTAAAATTCTGCTGTGTTGTGTAAGTTAGAATACTCATCATCAGTTAATGGATAAATTTTACATCTAAAATTTCTTGAAAAATACAAGCGGTTGTTATTCATGTTCAATTTAAAATCGTACAATTTCGTTTTGAAGTTATTTTCGTCCTTCTTTCTTGAACTCCGAAATTAAACTGGTGAGTTCGTTTGTGCATAAAACACAAACGAGATTTCGTTTTGTATAAATCTTTGTTTTATGGTTACGCTTTAGCCGTTATTGTTATTATGAAGGTCCTTAAGATTGTCTTTGGAATAGAGATAATGAACCCAATCCGATTTGCCCAATTAAAAATACTTGTCTGATACCTGTACATTTTGTCAGTAGCATCATCCGAGAATAAAGACGGCTCTCAGATAAAACCGACTAAGTAGTTGGGAGCCACTAACCTCTCAAAAGGAATTATAATATGAGACTGAATAGTATCACAATTAGATGTAGCAAACTCTTAGTCTGGAAGTGTTTCGCGTAATAAAATAGCAATGTATCTGAATATCACACGGAAATTCAACAACGAAAGCACACAAACACACGATAAAATGAATGTTTGTGGTCAAACTGACGTTGGTCGTTTGTTCGTTGCCCGCTTGGCGTCATGTTGTCGTATCGCATCAGGTGTATTGGAAGGTGTAATTACTAAAATTACTCATAATTTTGATGTTGGGTTTATTGTCCTATAGAGCCAAATTTTAGCGAAATCGCATAAGGCGTATGAAAATAAAAAAAAACAATTCAAAAATGGCGGCCAAATTTTTTTTGTTCTGTTCTAATACTAATAATTCAATACGTGATTAGACTATGTGAATAGGACGGCGAGAATACAGGATATTTCTTCGAAATAGAGTAAAAAAAGTACGAGAGCTAATAATAAAATAGGTGTTTTCTAAAACTGATATCCGTTAGAAACTTGTTAAACGGGAACAGAGTGCGATTAAAAAAAAATAAGCAGGCAGAAAACCTACGTCGCCGTGGGGCATAGAAACGTAGTGGCACATTTTGCGGCGCGATCTGATTGCGCTTAGAAAGTGGCGAGAATAAGAGACGTAAATGTGTGCCACAAGCCGCTATCGGAAGAGAGTTTGAAATAGAACAGCTTGGGTGTCTTTCAGATGTCTCAATTCATTAGATCAGATAGTTGACAATGTGGGGTGTTTACAAAGCACTCGTCATCGAGCAAGTTTCCAAGTCTTCAGGAAGCCACCGGCAACCAATGATAATCTACGTCAGTCTTCAGATAGCGTTGTCCGCGCTCTGTCCCACCCTATCCGATCCCCGCAGTGCCCAACTTTTAGCAGGTCGCTCGCTAAGCTTCCTATATGTGCCCGACAAAACACGTGCGAACTGACAATTATTCAGGGTTGATACGCCCGATTATTCTGTATCATTTACTTAAAGGCAAATGCGATTCGGTGTCTTTCATCGCATCGCGTTCAAACAACAAATGGAAGATGCAATCGCAAATTTTCTAATATAAACGTGGTCGAAAATTGGTTGTTATTGTTTTAAATCGTTAAATCTGCAATTTCATGTGTTTGGAAATATTGATGGTCGTAGTTTTATACAGGATGTTATCAGTACAACTCACATAATAAAAGTGTAGATCCCTAGATCGGGGCGAGGTCCGGAACATTTTTAAAATTGCAAAAATGTTTAAAAAATTAAAAAAAAAATACCTATTTTATCTGAAGTTTTTGCTTATATCTTGGAACCTACGCATTTTGGAAGAATATTGAAGAGGAAAAAAGTATTAGAATCGAATTTTGCACAATATACTGTAAGTTAAAAATGTTTAAATTTATTACCGATGTTGCAAAATAGCAATAATTGATGCAAAAAAAGGCAAAATAAAGTTTTTTGGATAATTTTTTTAATTATTTTAATTGCTCCGAGGGCATTTTAATTTTGGTGAAAAAACGTTAGAGTATAATAATTCGAGTTTTCGCAAAATAATTTTTTGAAAAAAATTTTGAAAAATATTTTTCGTATTTTCAAAATGTTGCACAGCCTCAAATAAAGCATCTAGATACTTAAAAATTATTTCACATAGAAAAGGCCGCTCAACCTTTCAATTGGTTTTTGAAAAATTGAAATCGGTTGGTTAGGACGGCCACAGTAATTTTTTTTATTTTTAAACAATTAGATTACATTTATCAATTTGCAATTTAGTTTTTTTCAAAAATTATAATTTTAAAGTACTATTTTTTCTTAATTTTATCTGTATTTAACAAAAAAATTAATTTCCAAAAAATTTTTTTTTAATTTGTTTAAACAAAAATTATTTAAATAATTGTAATAATTATAACTAAATACATTCATATTCAGAGTGTTGAAATATATACGTAAACAAATTTTTTCATTGAAAAAATGCAATAGCATAGGGTAAAATATACAGTATATTTAATGCATAAATAATACATTTTGTTTATAACAAAATATGTGCAAATTAGACAGTTGGCATTACGATATTCGAATTCCTTGGCTCGCGAATCATCGGATTAAAAAAAAAGGATCGAAATTGGTCCATTAGAAGCCGAGATAATGCAATTTTTTTCGTACCTTCGCATTTTGAACCTCCGAATTCAGTCTCGGAGCGAAAGCCTCCTCCACCACATTTCGTGTTTTAAGCGCCAGCTTTTCCGATGATTTATCTATGTTGCCGATAAGTTATGGATATGAAAATTTTTTCCAGTTTAGAACTCGGAAAAACGAAGCCACTGGATCAAAGATTATTGCTAAATTGTTTATAAATTAACGGTAAATGTCGATAAACTTTGACCGCTTATATCTCGAGAACCAATAAACGGAATTTAACTTTTTTTTTTAAAGAAGCGTCTTCCCGAGTACTTTAAAATTGATAAATGTAATCTAATTGTTTAAAAATAAAAAAATAAATATAAAAAATAAAAATTTACTATGGCCGTTATAATCAACCAATTTCAATTTTTCAAAAACCATTTGAAAGGTTGAGCGGTACAAATGTAGAGTTTTAAATTTTTGTAAACCTTAAAAATTCTTCGTATATTTTCATTTGTTTCAATTGTTTTACTATCTTATTTTTTAAATAGGAAAAATTTGCACTTTTGCACGGAAAACTTGCACTTTTCCATGCAAAACTAAGTTTTAATAATAAAAGTAGGGTTAATATTTGCAACTTTGAGTTCTTTTTACTTACTTGATAAATGGATTATTAAGCGGGACACTCGTTATACATTAGCTATATAAAATTTCATTGGTTATTCAAAAATACTTACCCTGTATAGAGTTCTTTATATAATTACACAAATGACACACTATAAATAACATTGGAGGTGGATTTGGGCTTCGTCCGCGAAGTCTGGGCCTAGGACGGCAAAATTTCGGAGGTTACTTTTTTTTTAGGCCTCCATAGATACATAATACTTATGGGGATCAATACCACAAATACCTTAAATATATTTCAGTATATATATTCTTCGATTCTATAATAGGGGCGGCATATCAGAGCGGGGCTAGGGCGCCATCGCAATCAAATCCGCCCCTGAATAACATACTGTAAATTATTTTAAATTTACACGATTTTCTGCCAGAAACTTTTACATACATTGAAAGTTAATAAATATTAGGTTCAAAATGCCATTATTTGTAACCGATAATAACTTATTTTTTATTTAATACAAATTTCGCTATTGATTCTACACATTTTGTGAAAAGTTAGTTTTGGGTTAAGGTAATAAAAGTATTAATGGGGAAATAATTTTATTTGTATATTTACATACATACATAATTTATAAATATATAACATAGGAAGTAACAAAAAAATCAGGAGTATTTTTACACATCTGCCTCACAATAACACTTTAACGGGCTACGACACAACAGTTAAGTATATAGAATAATACGTTTTTTTTTTTAGTATATCGCATATACTGGATGCAGAAAATTAATTGAAGGAAATTTTACAGTTATCATAGTTTTCAACAATCTTTGGTACAATTATAAACACGTAAATTATTTAGAAACGGATACTGTTCACTTAGTAGCGACAGAATTATTCACATCTTACTATTATGGAATGTGGGTTGCCTACCAATATAATGCTGTGGCTTATACGTTTTATATTAAAAAACAACGTTTCAGCGTTTTTTAAGAATTAGATTAGCCAGACACTTATCCTCGAATGATAATTGTTATTGTGATACGTTGTGATAAATTCCTTTACTTTAACCGACACGCTATTTTTCTATTCTACGTTGATCAAGTAACCTCGAACCTCCAACACCTCGTTTTAAGACGAGGATAGGTGCCTGGCGTTTTAAAAAATCTCTCAACATGATACGACAAGATTGCATTGGCACAAAAGAGTAACACTACTTTGCTTATTGTCTTAACACTAATTAAATTTACATCTTTCCAACTCCCTAAGTTATGACTGCGACAAGCTACCGGCCGAATCATTATTACAAGCTCTCCCGTTCGGAGTGATGATACTGGCCGGTCTGGTTATCGAACAAAGACATTTTGAGTCTCTTACATTTTGCCCGTCTGTTCTTGAACCAGAACTGCACGTTTTTCGGTTCCAACCTCGGGAATTTCTGACGGTAAGCCATGCAGTTCAGCTCCTCAGTGTATTTCAGGATCAAATTGTGGGATGGGTGAGTATTGAGGGAGAACCACTGCTCCAGCCTAGGTACTTCGGTTACGGGATCTATAAAGGTACGGTTGCGCTTTCTTCGTTCATCGGCCGTCAGACTAGACATGGCGAGAGCAGTGGAACTGGGAGGAGACGTAGCCGAGTGAGATAAACCTGGAATGTAGTGACTCATATACATAATACTGTGACTGAACATGGAGTTAGGAACAAGAGGGAACCCAGCCGCCAGCCTGTCCAAGCCCTCTGGGTTTCTTGGGATCAGCTGACTGTCCATATCGGGCGAGTTGCAAAAGCGTTGCACGAGGGAGCGGTTGGCAGGGGACGTCACCCCTCCACCTTCAAAATGAACCTTGCTGTCACCCTCCCCTTCCGCGTCATCCTCGGTGTCGGACAGAGCTAGCTTACTGTTGTTCAAGTGATCGGTGTTGTAGTTGGTCGATTCGTCTTTGGGCTCTTCCTTGCAGCTCTCAATCTGTAACAAACGGGAGGTTAGTGAACAATCCGATTAGTTTTTAGGAGAACTTGTACCTACTTGTATGTCTGGTGGAGGGGGTGGCGTGGAGGATCTTGGGCTCCCGTCTCTCGAGTCTTTCCTCGTTGTCAACGAAAGCGGAGCTGTCGGGCTAGGCGGTTGCCCTTCGGGCATTTCCTCGTCTTCCAAGTCAGATCCGGTGTTGGAAAACTCGTCAGAGGTATGGGAATTCTGAGGACCCCTTCGGGATAGGTTGTTTTTCAAGCGGTGGTCTACTAGTCTGTCAGAATTCAAGTAGTTGTCGGCCAGCAGAAAACCGCCGCCGTTAGTAGGACTGTGGTTGCTGTATCCGTTCACAGAAAGGTGGCATTGCAAGTTGGAAGTAGTTACGTTTCTGATTTCGGCTCTTTTTTGTGCGGCCCTGGCGTTTTTGAACCAATAAACCACGTTGTTTATGTCGAGAGGTTTCCTCCCTCTCCTCGATTCGAGACTGTTCAGTTCCTTCACGTACTGTTGGATCTGTTGTCTGCTGGGGTGTTGATTCTCGGTGAACCATCTTTGCAGTTTGGGGAGCTCCAGCTCGGGATCGAAACTGGTCCTCATCCTTGTTTTCTGAGTAGGAAATTGGCTGTGAACCGTTTGCATGGCTGGGTGTGCGTCAGTTATTGTGCGTTCTATTGGTGCGGGAGGTTGGGAAGGTACTGAGTACTGGTTAGGATACGACGGGACGAACTGGGATCTACCCACTGGCGATTGAGGGCTGAACTGTGTTGTCCACCACTGGTCGAACTTGCGACGGATCTCTTCGGATATTTCCGGCAGCGGGCCCGAGGACGAAGAATTGTTCCGACATAACTGCGATATGAGGATCTGAAAAACAGGTTTTTTTCCTTAACAAAAATAAAAAGACCAAGTGATCAGCATTAGTATGTTATTGGGGATCGTTGGGGAGTTCGCAAGTGTGTCGAATATAAAAGCGACAGGGAAGGCGAATAACATAAAGCGTATATCAGCAAGTGTTGTATGTAGGTTTTTAGGGTGAGATTAGAGTACTTAAAAGCAGACGTTTGAAGCCGTGTTGGCCGGATTTATCTTAGGTTCAGCTACTATTCAAATGAAAGGCACAAATGTTGTGATTTATATGGCCATCGTTAGCCGCTAGCTCCCTCTGTTAGATGCTGAATTTATTTTTGAATCAACACCCCGGGTATTGTGGACAGGATAAGGGAGGATGAACTTCGTGAATGAACATCATATTACTGTATAATCCGCTGCTTATAAGCGGCGAAGACAACGAGGGAACGATCCTCAAGCAACGTCCAAAGTGGTGTGTTCCGTAAAGAACGGAAAGAATTGAATCGGTAAACTGAAATCGAAAAATAAATATTCCAAACGAATCCTGAATTTTTTGAGTTCGATGGAAATATTCCAGCGTTTTAACTGCATTAGAAAATGAGAAAAAAAATGTATATATGGGGCCCGTATTTTCTCTTTTTCCAATTTGATCTTATGCAAGTCGTTAAAAAAATTAAAATATGCATGCTGACGTCAGCAAGCGAAGATTTTCAAATATTTTACAATACACTAAGCACAGAAATTGGAGGGAAAAGGCCATAAAGAGAACTAAAAAAAAGGAAATTAAAGCTTCAGTGTCTAGCTTTCGGATCTGGAGTTTAAATTTTTTAGCGTCAGCAGTTTTTGAGTAATCATAAGAAAATCAACGAAAAAAAATTGTAAATTTTTGCTTTTCCTTAAAAAAGCCTATGAATTTTTATTGGTAATTTCACCATAAAGCTCTTTTAGACAATTTAATTATCTTCAATTTGAGCGGTTCCGGAGCCTTGTTATCATCGATCAAAGCAAAAAAATAATTTTTGACTTTGGCAATCAATTACTCGGAAAATAACGGCCGTACAGAAAATCCAAGCAGGGTTTTGAAAACTGCAAAGTATTCTCTACAAGTCGTAATTATGGGTTTTTGATAAAAAAATTTTTTCGAAGTGAAAATGTCGGTTAGAAAAAAGGTAAAAAATTGCATATTTGAATAACTTGACATAACTTTGCAAATATCAAATAAACTAAGGATATTGACTGTAACTTTTCAGCCTCAACGTGTTCTAAAGAAACCCTGATAATTTCAAAACACTGTGATTTTTTTTTTCTTAGTGCTCGGAATGTTTAAATTGTGTTTGCTGAATATCAATGTAATAAGTAATTTTTCACTTTTTATTAATTTTTTTAAGTTAAAAATGTTTTTTTACCAATAATCCATATTTTCTTCATCAAAAAACGTTCATTATTCTAAAAAAAATGAAAAATTCTTTTTGACGTATCCACAAGCTTTACAAACGTCAAAAAAAATTTCATAGGCATTTAAAGAAAGGCAAAAATTTACAATTTTTTTTTCGTTGATTTTTTTCTGATTACTCAAAAACTACTGACGCAAAAACATTTTAAACTCCAGATCCGAAAATGAGACAGTTGAAGCTTCAATTTCCTTTTTCTATTTTCTTTTTGAGATTTTATTAATATCCCTTAACTTCTGTGCCTAGTGTATTTCAGTACATTATAAATTCCTTAGAATTCAATATCTGTTTACAGAAATATTCACATAATTTTGTTTTAATTGATGTTTTAAATTACGAATTATTATTATTAATCTCTAACAATGTGGCACTAGACTTTTTAATTTTTTGTTTCATGACGACATACAAGAAAAATAAAATTTCAAGTTAAAATAAGAAATTAAACTACTTTATTCACAGCAATATTAAAAAAAAATATTTCAGTGTTCTTACCGTTGAAGAAAACCAGTAAATAGTTTTCAAGATCATTCGAAAGTGTAGTAATTTTTTTTATTCCAAGTTTTTGCTGATTAGAAATTCTGTACAGTTACTGTTACTATAAGAAAAATACTTAAGGATAAAGGAGCGGGTTTTGTAATAAAAACGTCGAAAATCGTAAGTAGATTATAAATTCTCATCTTTCCGTTTGGCAAACAGTGTATAAGATTCGCAATTTGAGCACAAAATACCAGTGTAGCACCTGAGCTGTATTACGCTTCACCTCTCCAAGTGTTGTATTTTATCCTTATCAATTGAAGAAGACTTGTCTTCTTAGATATTGTTGGGGGGGGGGGGAGGGAGCGGGGAAGGGGAGAGATTGGGATCTACTCGGCGCTGTATGATGTAGAAGGCTTTTGATCTCATTAATACCATGAAATAATGCTACATAATCTTATTAAAAGCAAGGTTACAGCTATTCTCTGCACCCTTAATACATTCATTCCCGTTTAATTCTTAAGACGGGTATCTCATAACCGACTCCTTTGCCGAGCGAGACTCGCATAATACACCTTATTACAATATGCATTATTGTAGAAAACCCGGCTCCAGTATACTCTAGGTACATGCAATTATGCATGTTCACATCATACGAAATACCTCACTCACATCGAAATGAGTTCAGAAACTACAAAAGGAACTAAGATTGACGCACTCTCTTCCCTAAAAACATTATATAGGGTAGGGACGCCGTCAACTTGCTTTTACATACAAACATCTATTTACCAAAGCAAATTTCCCAGTCGGCAACGGGTTTTTACAAACTCGGAGAGGATCAAAACCGTTCCAACTGCTTAAAATTAGTAACAATCATAACAAAACTTATCAAATATCATCTCCAGACATCTAAACACCATTTTTTTCCACAAAACGCGGCGTACTAATTATTATCGCTCCTAATATGACTATAATTAAATTTACGTGCAGACATTACCTCGTCCAAAGGGCACCCGGACGAGATCAGCAACCCGTGCGACTGGAGAAGGAGAAACCTTAACAGCTTGTCCTTGATGTCGGCCATGGTGCCAGGCCTTCCCCTGAAGACCTGTATCCTCAGCGTGGCCACCGTCGATAGTTCTCCCAAAATATCCCCCACGGTAATAAGGGGATCGTCCGATATTTGATCGAATGTGAGCGCCTTCCAGTTCTTTATCAGGACCGACCCCTTTGCTGCCGCTGCGCTCTCGGCTGAGTAACCGAGCCGCAACAGCGCAGCATGGACTAGGTTGTGGAAGGGGGTGGCCACCGGAATGATGACGTAGGTGTCGATTTCGATCATGGGTCTACGCCGCCAGACGCCATGTTGCATCGGGCGGTTCTCATCTAGGGTGTGGATTGCTTCTACGATGCAGTGCACTGGTAGCGATTTGGCTGGAACAAAAGAGACGCGTTTAGAGGAAAAACGGAAAAGATGACGATCGAATTATATTTTAAAATGATTGTTGGGCATAAAACAGTTAGTAGGTGTCTAAATTTTATTTATTTATTCTTTTTGCAGATATTGAGGCTCACGTTTAAGGAGCCATAGCTCCTTTAGGCTTTCACACCTTACACTGTAATGGATGATATTGTTCTACTTTACATGTTCCGTTAACTGTCCCTTATGATGTATTAAGTAGTGTAGTAGGAAATAAATGTATTTAGGAAGGAAGGAAGGAAGCAAATTAGAACCTTTTTGAATTCAGTACAAATCTCTATCTATTTTTCAAGTAGTGACTATAAAATTTTACATTAAGTTGTAAGGCCGGACAGAAGAATGGCACGTTGAGAAAACCGCTCGGTGCTGAAGTTGACGGAAAGCTGTGTGTACTTTCGATGTGGAATTACCTGTGCATACAAAGCGCGTAAAAAGGCATAGAAATAACACGAACTGATAAGGAGTGATAAGTCCGCAATCCCCGCGCAGCATAGCACTCCGAGCGAACATTAATTCACATGGCGGCATATCTCGGTTAGCAAATGATTCAGAGTTAAAAAGTGGCGGATGGAGAGATAAATACTTTAAGCAGAAGACGCGGCAGTTTAGATGGAGCGGTGGGGCAGATCATCGTTCTTTCGGGGCACAATCTTGTCAACCATACCGAATTTAATGGGGACGTGTAAAGCGGAAAAGTAACCAGTGATAAGAAAGACAGACAGATCAATTGATAGCGTCGAACAGATGACAGTTAATGTGCCGCTGTAGTAAGAACTAGTTCATTTCCTTTTCACCTAAAAGGTTGAGAGGGGTCTCGCGATTTTCTTACGCCCGTTTCAAACACTAGCTTTGGTAGACGCGTCGGTGCTAAAGCTAAGCACTGCCTATTGCGGATGATGTATAGCAAATAAACGTAATTTAGGATGAGATAATGGGTTCATCAAATACCCATGAAAATAGAAAGTGTGGTAAAATTATTAAAGAAAGACACATTCATATACATGTTATTCTGTCTGTCCACTGGGTAATACTGCACTGGTGATAAATGTTTCCATAGATTTGTAAAGTTGGTTGCCTATAATTGACCTGCAATTCAATTACCTGTGGATTTATTTCATATAATCTCCTTTTAAAATAATTTCGTTTTACTTTTGTATTCGTTTCTATAAAATAAAATAATTGATATAGGAATATCCTGTTTAGAAAATTCATTAAATGTAAATGTTTCTTAACTAAATAATAACTCAGTGCCATAAAAAATGTGGGTTGGGCCGTCATGATCCAGACGTTTGACCAGCTGAATCCGAATCTAAAGTCAAAATTTCCGGGTCAGTTCGTGTTTTGACCCTATCAAGACACTCCTCTAGAAAGCGGTTTTTCATTTCAAACTAATTGGAGAAGTCATTGAGCTGATTAATATTGGAATTCGTGATCTCATAGCACCATAACCCCATGACCCCATGGCTTCATAACCCCGTAACCCCATAACCCGAGATATGCGAAAGTGTAGAACCATGACACTCCGGAGACAAGGATCTTATATGTCAGGAGTCCGTGAGTTGGCAGATTTCCCTAACCCCATAACCCCGTAACCTGGGGTGTGCGAGGATGCATACCCACGAAACTCTGTGGTAACTTGGGTTTCATACACAATTAGTCATGATCCAGACGTTTGACCAGCTGAATCCCAATCTATAGTAAAAATTTCCATATCAGTTCGTATTTTGACCCTAACATCAAGACACTCCTCTAGAAAGCGGTTTTAGAGATTTCAAAATAATTTGAGAAGTCATTAAGCTGAAGAACATTCAAATTCGTGATCTCATTGCACCATAACCCCATGACCCTAACATAAGACTCTAGAAAGCGGTTTTAGAGATTTCAAACTAATTTGAGAAGTCATCGAGCTGATGAACATTCGAATTCGTGATCTCATTGCACCATAAACCCATGACCCCATGACTTCATAACCCCGTATCCCCATAACCCGAGATGTGCTTTCGCTTTCGTTTAGAACCATGACACTCTGGGAACAAGGATCTTATATGTCAGAAGTCCGAGGGTTGGCAGGCTTCCCTCACCCCATAATCCCGTAACCTGGGATGTACGAGGATGTATAACCACGAAACTTTGTGGGAACATGGGTTTCATACGTAATTGTTTCGAAACTACATGACTGAGTTGGCAACTTTCGTAACCTCATGACCCAATAACCCCATAACCTTATAACCCTCGGTGTTCGAGGATGTATAACCACGAAACTATGAGGAATTGAGCCTGTAATTCTGTTGTAACAAAGTCACCACCCAGGATTTTTTTCTCCCGTGTCTACACTGAAAAAATAGTACTTCTTTGACTGTTTTTGCGACCAAATTGATTCAAATGACATGTTACGAGGTTATGGGGTTACGGGTTTAGGGCTATGGGGTTTTGGTGCAATTCTAATGTTTTTCCAATCACTAACTACTACAATCACTACTACTAACTACACTGCTACTACAAGTCGTTTGGAAATATTGTTCGAAAATAATAAATGATGAGACACAGGGTGATCTCGTACAATTCTGATCGTCACGCATACTTGAATAAAATTTTGCACTTATACAGGGTGTACACAAATTTGGAGCGGATTTTTTAGTGGTAGATAGAATGAAGTAAAAATAAGTATTTTAATAATCAAAATTGTTAATGTTTAAAATTAATAATTATATTTTTTAAAACTTACTACATAAAAAGAGGTGAATAGTTGCGGCTATAAATGGTGTCATCCTATTTTTTTTATATTCTAGTTTCGATTACCGAAATATGTGTCATGTAAGTTTGTCACTTTGAAACTAGGACACCCTATACATAGTTTCCTGAAACTTAAATTGATTCAAGGAGATTTTAACAGTTTTCCAAGGCTCACAAAGCTTGTTTATTAAAAAATATTTACAGACATACGCTTCCGATATTAGATGTTGATAAAACTATATTCAGACGTAAACCGTACTAAACTGTAGGAAAAAATGTTTATGTCGTAAATTTCGTATTTAAAAGAGCATCGTTAATTATTCTTATATCTAACATGGGTACCACCTAATTATAATCTCTGGCAGAGCCCGAGAAGAGGATTAGATTAATTAAACTATCCACATCTAAATTAAACGCGTAATATTTTCAAGAGGCCAGTCGATATTTTCAACCATAAATATAAAAATAGGTATCTGAACGAATTAAACCGGCTTTTTATAATCTAATAATCCTATAATTAACAAGATTCCGACGGAGGAGCTTGAATTTAAAACAGCTTTAGTGGAATCTATACGATCTTCGATGCGCTGTTAACCTATTTGGCGATACAGAGGTTTTTGGAACCGGAACCTCTTGAATTAACGAAGAACGCGTAAGACACCGCAAAGTCCGGGTTTGAATTTATAATTTGTGGATATATTTGTAAATTCCCTTCAACGCTACATTATTCATTATTATTTATTGGGTATTTTGCTATCAGTGAAAAAATGCAATGTTTAAATTTTTATCGTCCTTTATAAGATTGTTCTACTTTTGTATCACTATTTTCGACTTTAACCCAAAAGACTATCCACCAATTTCTGAACACCCTGTATACCGTGTTTCATTGCAGTTGCAAAATGTTGTGCCTCTTTTTCGCACAAAACTGTTGAAAATAAAAAAATATTAAAAGGGAAACGATTCAAGCGGGTGTAAATTTTTGGATTTTAGATTCGTTTTCTTAATTAATGCCTTATAAAAATATCCATTGGCGTCCGCTGAAAGAAACTGTTTAATTCGAAGAGCGTTGGGCGCCGGGCTTTAATAAAGACGCTGAAAATCTGAAGGTGCGCGTTCGATGAAAAGGCAAGTGGAAGTGGCAGGCCTCCGGACTGGCATCAACTAATAAACCCACACGAAGAGGAATTAGACCCACTGGTCTGCCCTGTCTATGCTAATCTCGTTAGGTTAAGAAGGTTTCTGCATATTAGAGAGCTTTAGCAGGAGCAACCTAGACCTAGCCCCGCGTCTTTGGGATTAGTTCAGTCGACTTGAGCTTAACTTGAATTGCTGCCAAACAAAGGAAAGTATATGACGTCATGCGTTTAAGGTAAATCCTGGCTATAGGTGGAATTAATGGAGCACAATCGATGCAAAAAGCGCATTTACCGTAGCCGATTTAGTTTTGTATTTTTTTCGAAAGTGCACCGAAGTTAATAAGATTTAAAAGTGGGTCAAATATATAAAAATCACCGAGCACTTATTCGAAACTGTGTTAAATTTTAATAGAAATAAACAAAACAAGTACACAGCAAAAATATTATCTTGAACCAGGAATACATACGCGTAAGTATAAGTGAATTTAATAAAATTTAAAACTGACCAAATACAGGGTGTTCTGGGGAAAGATACCACAAATATAAGAGTTTGTTTGCCTATGGACCGTCGTCATTTGTTTTTAAGATACAAAGCGTCAAAGAAAATTTGGAAAGTGTAATAAAATAAAATTTTACATTATAATATATCAGTGGCGGCATTGGTTACTGTTACTCCTCACTAGTCCCCACCACAGTGAGGCCACAAATTCTTTGCTTGTAGGCACATTACACTTGACTACAATATGCTACAGTTCCCCCTCCACGTGAGGCGGTTAAAATAACATGATTTAGGACTGAGGCCGGCTCAAAGCAGCTTATAGTTTTAGTGTTTCAGTTCGCGGTTATTGTACGCGTCGCATAGTACGCGGGTAGTGTCTGATGCCAGTGTGAGGGATAGTACGAAGGCTTTAAGGATAAGGACAAGGCTAGTATTAATTTAAAGTAAATAAAAAACAATTTCCTTACAACAAAACAAAATAAGACTAATTTTAACGTAATTTAATAGATACTTATTATAGTATCAAATACCTACATGGGTAGCTAATAATGAATCTATCTCACAATATTGTTCTATCTCTTGAAAC